GACAACTGAAAACGGAGGCCTCCGTTTTCAGTTGTCTGAAAAACGGAGCTGAATTTTGCCTGAAACTCTCAGACTGAAGAAGTCTCTTGGAGGAGAGACGAAACGTTTCATTAGAGAAGAACCCGTCCAGAAGACCTATACAATTTTTTTCTTTTAGATTTTTTACCTGGATTACTGAGATGCATCAGGATATTAATGGTTAGCTTTAGGAAAAATGTGTGGGTTAAGCATAAATACAGTTTGCATCATTTTCATGGATGTACTAAAGCATTTGCAGCTTGTTCAAAGAAACGAGAAATCGCTTTTTTGATGTGCACAATGTGAAGATTGAACGAGTAGTTTTGAGAATTTCGATTCTGATCTAAGAAATAAACCAAAGCAAAAGAGAAAACCTGTAACAGTTAGGTATCAGGTATAAATAAAAAAAGCCAGGTTAGTTCTATTTATCTGCAAAATGAAGTTGGTACCAGTAAATGCAGAAGCAGGGCGTGGTACCGGGCTGTGATCTGGGTGGCTCTGGTACTGATCTGGCTGCTGATGTGAGTCTCATCCAGAACTTGTTGAGCCAAAAGTGTCAGACTCTCCATTTCTTCCTGATAGACAAGCACCTCCTCCTGCCAGCTCTAAATAAATAAGAAACAGTCCTACGGTCAGAATCTTATATTCTAAGAAAACTGTCGAGCATGACCCAGCATCACCCCAAAATTGAGCAATGCTCTGGCTCTGCTGGGCCCAAAGAAATGCAGAAACAAATGACAAGAGTTCAACCATTTGTTTACTTATTACAAAAATAATTCATTAGATACTGTAGACAGACAGTCTGTGGCATAATAAAACAGAAATTTGTCTTTAACTTGGCTCAATAAACCTGTATATCATTAAAAACAGTTCAGCATAATTTACAATTTGAAAATATTTTTTAAATGTATGCAGACACAACAAGGGGCAATATCATGTTAAATCAACTTTTTTGAGTTTTATATCATATTATAATGTTATACTCTCATAAAAAAAACATGTCCAAAGCCTTGCTCTGACTCATTCATGCATGTTTGAGAAATCCTGCAGCATTTTTAGGGGACCAGAAACGCCTTTTAGTACCAGGAACGCCCCTGGGACGTGTCTTTAAGCTGAACTTCCTCATCACGGAGCACAACTCCCCAACCCCCCAACCCCCTCCCCACACACCCCGCCCATGACTCCTGCAGGCTCTCGGCAGTCACAGAGCAAAGTGAAAGTGAAACTTAAACTGTCTGCTGACTACTTCTCACTCAGTGACTCTTTTCAGATTCAAAATACCTTTGAGGAAATGTATTTTCAGATGCCAAGTAAACTGCATCATAGCCCCCCCCCCCCCCCACACACACACACACACTGAAATTTACGTGACAGAAGCGGAAGGAGGTTCTTAAAGAGACAGAGGCCAATTTCAAGGCGTTTAGAAGAGGAAGTGTTGAGAAGATAAGTTTATTTTCTATTTAAACATAAAAACAGCATTTTAATAACAGGTAAAGGTGACATAGATACTTTATTATGGTACAGTATTTAAATATATGCCTGGGAAACACGTAAAATTGCCCCTTTAAAACAGTTATTGCAAAGGGGATAAAGGATTTCTAATAAATGTTTTTCTGTGCCAGCGGGGCTCTGTGTCCTCTGCCTGGTGGCAATAACAATGGAGTGGGTGAGACAGGACCCTAATAACGTGGGTGGCTTTCCTCATCACTGAGCACCTGTACAGTTCAGAGGAAGCACTTCCATTATATTGCAGGGCCCATATTTTTACACTTACAAGTTTTATCCCCTTTGAATTTACCGTGTTTTCTTTTCACACGTGAACCTGTATGATAAAAACGACCACATCGTGAAATGTTCCAAAGGAGAAATGTGAACAAATGTGATCAAAACTCAGACAATAAATTGAATTATATAGTCTATGTCTGTTTACAAACCTTGACCATCTGCAGCTGTGCATTCTTCGTGTCCCGATCAGACCGTCGATTAGAGCGCAGCTGGCCTTTGGCCTCCATGGCTCTCAGCCAGCTATCGAGACGTTGGAACTTCTGCTCCATCTGTCGAAGTTTGGCCAGACCACTGTTGAGCTGAGCGCGGGCCTCAGCCAGCTGGGCCTGGTAAAGCCTCCACTCCTGCTGAAGGGTTTCCAGGGCTCGTTCCTCTATCTGGGGCAGACCCCAAGGAAGGACCGGTTCTCTGCTCAACAGCAGGGTGTTGAGGAGAGCTTGGCCCTCCGTGCAGTGCAGCTGCAGCTCCTGTCAGTACATACAGAGCTGTGTCTAAATGTTTCTGTGAGATCATTGTTAAATAAAAAGAGGTGACTTTGGTTCAGACCTGTAGTTTTTGGATGGTGTCCTCCAACATATCAATATCTCCCTCCAGCTGTGTATAACAGCCGAGCTTCTCTTGCTCTGCTTCCAGCCACTCTTCAAACGCACGGAGGTCCTGCTGATACTCTTCATGAGCTTTCACCAGATCTTCTGCTTTGCCAACAGCCATCTGACGAGCAACACAGTGAAGATACAGAACCAGACTGACACTGATGTGTGCATACTCTCTAGATTTTTCATTCACACACAGTTGATTAATTGCTGCACTGTAGGAGCTCTATATACAACACAAGTTTCTAACAAGAACCACATTAACTGCCTACATTCGACTGCTTCTTACCATAGCTTTATCTTTGACCGTGTTATAACGCTCCTGAAGTTCCTGCAGCTCAAGCTGAGTCACGTAGTTTTCTGTGATGTTGGCACGTTTTACAGTGATGGTGTCCAGCAGAGCATTATGGCTGAAAACATCCTCATAGAGCAGCTAAAATAAAATAAAAAAATTACATCAATCAGTTTTATTCCAACTCAACCCAATTATCTTTCATGTATTACTGATACCAGTGAAATTTAGAGCAGAGATTCTTAACCTATGGGCTGCGGCTGAGCGCCACCTTGAGGGCCTCAAAAGAACGACAGTTTTTAACTTTGGGCCACAGAGGGCCGTGGGACCGCATTGATTTTGAATAAGGTGCAATACACTTTCTCACCACTAGTAGCAGTAGTGCACCACTCAGATGTTTAAGAAGTTTTTTGATATGTAGAAGAAGAACCTTAGAAACCTGCCGAGAATGGAAACCTGTTTTAAATGAAAAGTTAGCCTGGCCCTTGCCTTCCTACGCAGCTCCGCTCAATTCTAGTTTCCCTTCTCTGCTCCGTCTGGGACTTCTCCCATTGAGATGGACTTCACTGGCAGATTTTTAGCTGGGCCAACCAGAGAACAGAACGTCAATTTTCTACGCAGTGTCTGCTTGTAGTTTATTTTACTTGGGCCAATCAGAGAACAGAAGGAGGAGCTTTGAATGACGTCGATTTTCTGCGCAGTGTCTGCTAGTTATTTTAGCATATGGCAGTGGAGGAAGTGAATGAAGCCAGTCCGTGTTGATAAGGCTTCCAAATTAAAATAAATTTGTCTGACAAAGCAGCAACTCTCATTTACAGTTGTCTCGTTCGGCTCGGTGTATTTCTCCTCTCAGTAGGGTTGTTTACAGCACACACAATTTCCGGTTAGCTTCTTAGCTTAGCCTCCTTCACAGTGACATACGTCGCAGCCAACTGATCCAATCATTTTAAACTTCAGCAGAGGCCACGCCTCCTGAAAGAAATCACTTCTCTATGCATCAAGTTCAGACCCTTGTACGAAGCAAAGTGAAGGACAGGGTCTGGTTTAAACCAGGCTAATAAAAAGTAGAAGCAAAAATGAAAGTAACTCTTCAAAAAAACCCAAAGTTTGTCACTAATATGAAGTGCAGCTTCTGGTTTTACCATGCAATATTTTTGTTATGGAATAATTATGTATATCTGTTCTACCTTGACACTGTCCAGTAGTCATATCTCATGATAACTAGTTTTGGCTGTTTTAATCTATCGGCCCAGACTTCAAGACTCCAGCAATGCATGACCTCTTTTATTTTGATAAGTTGTTTCTGGGCTGACAGCTCTGTCATTGGTTAGATGATTCACAGTTGGCGAACTGTGATTGGTTGTAAGCATGTCACAGGATGTTTTATTATCGGCTGCTCTGCGCTGACAAGCCAGCCACAACTTGACAGACTTCTCTGATTGACTTCTGCTCTGTTGTTGCTCRRATTAAATCATTTGACGACCATACACGCAGACTTTCTGTGCATTTATTCAAACGTGTTTCTGCATTCTTGGTAAATCGTGCCACCACAATTTTAAAAGTTCAAAACATTATCAAAAAAAGTTGCAGAACTGTACTTTAATTTGAACTAATTTTTGTAGTTTATTTTTTAAAAATTTTGAATGTATTCTAAAGAAATTTTAAACTTGTCAAAAAGCTGTTGTTACTGTTATTG